TTGATGCATCCACTGAAATTACTTCACTTATCTCTATATAGTAACAGCTTTGTAAGTGTACATAAGTGAAGGGCCTGATGTTTTGCTCTTTCAGGATTTATTTACATGAATACGTAGGGCCTATTTTCTTGGGAAACATGCAGCTTCTTTCAAGTGCACAGGATTAACATCTTCTCCAGTGGATTAAAACAACTTCAAAGCATGCAGGAACAGAATTTAACCACCTCCGGGCCGGCCGTAGTAAAAAAACGGCCGGCCCGAGCTCTCTAGATCTGAGCGGGCGTCTTTAGACGTCCGCTCAAGGGTTATTAGGTATATCTCTACTTTGTAACACCCAAAGGATGTAACCATGATATAACAAAATGTTTATTTACTGATATATCCTTTTCTAAAATATTTTCTATACTGTACATGTCGTATTGTAAAATTTTGCATGTTATATATGTCTATGTAAATAATAATAATAAAAAAAAAATTTCAAACCATTTGCAAAACTTTGATTTTGACATTCACGGCTCTTTTGAGTTTTTTAAGTGCATAACACAATGTAAACTGTAATTTTGGTGCTATTTGTAGCGCTGAAAACATAAGTTGCCAATTACTTTCCCTGGCACGTGTTAATTTGGCTTCAGTCTGCATCTTAATAAAAGCTTGTACATGGCTTGAAAGCTTATATGGTATATATTTTGTGTGTTACGTGAATACACATGATCACTGCAAGCTCCTGTGGATCTGGCATGCCTGTGAAAAGAAGTCTCATGATAAGCTGTGCTGAAGCCCTCACGGGTGGGGGCTGACTATAGGAGTCATTGACAGGATAGAGGGATTCTGTGTCATTGCATTGCAGCATTACAGACCCTCATCTGGATGTAGAGCAATACAATTCATGTGAATGCTTGTGTATACTGAGCCATTAGACTTGGGACTAATACCCTGTTTCCCCGAAAATAAGACCTACCCCGAAAGTAAGACCTAGCACTATTTTTCAAGATTCCTGTAATATAAGACCTACCCCGAAAATAAGACCTAGTTTGGTGGTAGCATGTGAGGGAGAACTGGAAGAGCAGGAGAGATGGTATCAGCCTGCAGGGACATACTGTATTAAGGGGATGACAGGGGACTCCCTCCAGACAGCGCAGTGACAGAGAGCACTCCAGTACCAGACTTCACTAACTGCTGTCCCCCTGAAGGCACTGCTTAATGTAATGGTACTGTACTGTACTGTAATGTGTACCGGTAAATGGTACCATACTTTACCACGCTGTCCACTGTCTGATGTCCCCACTGCTGCACCGCTGGTACCACTGTCCCTGGTGGCATAGGAAGCCAGCGCTGTAGAAAGCAAGGCTGCGGCGGCTAAGGGAGCAGAGCCGCATTGGCCGATATTCCTCTAGAGCGCCAGTTACTGTGACAGGTGGAGTGATACCAAATAACTTTGGATTGTTGTACATTTTGTTGCACATTAAAAAAAAAAAAAATAAGACATCCCCTGAAAATAAGACCTAGTGTGGTTTTTGGGGGCAAACAAAATATAAGACAGTGTCTTATTTTCGGGGAAACACGGTATATTAAATGCCTTGGACAAAGCACAAAGAACCACCCACTGGCAAGCCTATGTAAACTTAAAAAATGAAAAGCTTTAATTTTTTTTCATGCATTACATTTAAAGCTAAACTCTAGCCACAAAAACGTTTCCGTAAAGTTTGTTTTAGTTTAGGATAGAGAGGGATTTGAACATCTGTCAGGTTTTTATTGCTTTCTGGGGATGAAGATTGATCCTCTCTATTTGTCCTGGTGACCGTTATCGCTGAACTGGAAAGAAAATACCTAATTTTCGGTTGTCAGCAGAACAGCAGTTGCTGGAAAATCTTCCAATGGGGACACGAGTTCTGGTGAGTCTGCTCACCATCAAGGATCCAAGGATCTCCCTCACTTTGGAGACATTTTCTACCACTTCCTGTTGTAGTGATCAGACACGAAGTTAGGGGAAATCTCCCCAATTGATCACAGATGACGAAAAAGCTGACAGGGTTATAACTCTCCCTTACTCTATCCAAAACGAAAAAAAAAAAAGCTTGGGCTTCAGTTTTACTTTTAAATATATTTCTTAATAGCCACAGAAGACATGAATGAACTTTGTGTGCTTTTGCAAACCTAGATAGTGTCATATAAAAGTAGCAGTGATGTCACCAGTGTGCTACACAGGATTTTTGCAGAGCAGAGGTATGTGAGGAATGCACCAGGCTCACTCACTACATCCTTCCAACAGGAAATTACAGGAGAGAGTGGAGACAAGATTCTGATGTAAAGGGGGGCTCTGATGTGAAGAGGGAATCACATAAGAAGGAGGGGCTTCTAATGTGAAGGGGAGCTCCTCATGTAAAGGGGGCTCCTGGTGTGAAAGGGGGGCTTCTGATGCAAAGGGGGCTCTGATGTGAAGTGGGGCTCCAGATGTAAATGGTCACCTGGTGCCCACGTCATTACGTGTATGCATGACATTATAACGCACGCACAGAATGATGTTGCATGCACTTTACTGCCGGTGGCCATCTTGGTGATGGATGCCATTATGGAGAGGAGGGGACTTTCATCCCATCCTCTCTCATGCAGCTGTCAGGCTCTGGGTCCATAACAGTCATTTTGGTGTCATCCCCTCTGATGGTGTCACCCGGTGCGGGCCAGCTATGATTTGAAGGGGGATCCTGATGTGAAAGGGGAAATCTGATGTAAATGGAGGCTTCTGATGTGAAGGGGGGCTCCAGATGTAAAAGGAGGGGCTATGATATGAAGGCAGGGCTTCTGATGTATAAGGGGCTCCAAATGTAAAAGAAGGGGCTATGATGTGAAGGGTGGCTTTTGATGTAAGTGGGGCCTCTGATGTGAAGGAGGAATCCTGATGTAAGTGGGGGGGCTTCTGATATTAAGGGGCCTCCTGATGTGAAAGCGGGGGACTGGATGTAAAGGGAGGGCTTTTGTTTTAAAAGGGGCTCTTGATGTAAGTAGGGGAGTGTCTAATGTGAAGAGGGCTCCTGATATGAAGGCGGGGATTCTGATGTGAAGCGGGACACTGATAATAAACTGGGGGATTCTGATGTGAAGAGGGGGACTCTGATGTAAAGGGGGCTTCTGAGATGAATGGGGTGTTCCAAATGTAAAAGGTGGGCTGTGATGTGAAGGGGGGGCTTCTGATGTAAAGGGGGGCTCTGACGAGAAGGGGGAATCTGACGTGAAAGGGGGCTTCTGATGTGAAGGGGGGTCTCCAGATGTAAAAGGAGGGGCTATGATGTGGAGGGGGCTTCTGATGTGAAGGGGTGACTCTGATTTGAATGGGAGGACTCTCATGGGAAGGGGGGAGGGGAGGCTCTGATGTAAAGAAGGTTTCTGATGTGAAGGGGGCTTCAGATGTGAAGGGCGCTTCAGATGTGAAGGGGCTTCAGATGTAAAGGAGAACTCTGGTGTGAAGGGGGAATTTGATGTAGAGGGGGGATACTGATGTGAAGGGGGACTCCGACATAAAGGAGGGCTCCTGATGTGGAGGACTCTGAATTAAAGGGGTGTCCTATGTAAAGGGGGGCTTCTGATGTGAAAGTGGGTACCTGATGTGAAGGGGCACTCTCATGTGAAAGTGGGGGACTCTCATGTGAAGGAAGAGCTTCTGATGTGAAGGGGGAGGACTCTGATGTGAAGAGGGGGTTCTTGATGAGAAGGGGTGACTCTGATGTATAAGGGGGGCCTCTGATATAAAAGGAGTAGTCTGATGTGAAGATGGGACTCTCATGTGAAAAGAAGGACTCTGATGTAAAGGGGGGACTCTCATGTGAAAGTGGAGGCTCCTGAAACGAAGGGGAGACTCTGATGTAAAAGTGAGGGACTCTGATATAAAAGGGGGCAATCTAATGTAAAGGAATTAGTCTCTGATATGAAGGGGGACTCTGATGTGAAATGGGGGGGTCTGATGTGAAGAGGGGGCTCTGATATAAAAGGGGGCAGTCTAATGTAAAGGAATTAGTCTCTGATATGAAGGGGGACTATGATGTGAAAAGGGAAAGTCCGATGTGAAGGGGGGACACTGCTGTGAAAGTGGGAGACTCTGATATAAAAGGGGGCAGTCTAATGTGAAGGAATGAGACTGATATGAAGGGGGGCCTCTGATGTAAAAGTGGGGGCTCCTGATGCGAAGGGGAGACTCTGATGTGAAAGTGGGGGACTCTGATATAAAAGGGGACAGTATGATGTTAAGGATTTAAACTCTGAAATGAATGGGCGACTGTGATGAATAAAGAGGTAGTCTGATGTGAAGGAATGAGTCTGTGATATGAAGGGGGACTCTGGTGTGAAAGTTGGGGCTCCTGATGTGAAGGAGAGACCCTGATGTGAAAGTGGGGGACTCTGATATAAAAGGGGGCAGTCTGATGTGAAGGAATGAGTCTCTGATATGAAGGGGGACTCTGGTGTGAAATTGGGGGCTCCTGATGCGAAGGGGAGACCCTGATGTGAAAGTGGGGGATTCTGATATAAAAGGGGGCAGTCTGATGTAAAAGAATGATACTCTGATATGAAGGGGGGACTCTGATGAGAAAAGGGGTAGTCAGATGTGCAGGGGAACCTCATTTTAGACTGGGGTAACTCACGATTTTGGCATACTTTAAATGTTACAGCAACTGAAAACAGACTGAGAAACGCTACCTTAGAGTGTAAGCTCCTGGACAGCAGGGACTGATATGAATGTACAGTATGTAAAGCTCTGCGTAAATCATCGGTTCTATATAAATTCCCGTAAATAAACAAACATGCGGGCGTATAACCCTTTCGTGGCGACGAAGCCCGGGCAGGCGAAGCAGAAAGGGTTAACCGAGGGACCTCAGAAGCTCATCCGCACAACACATGTGCAAGCAACTTCAGTATGTTCTGCTGTGGTTTTATTTCCCAGCCCTGCCATGCACAGCACCGAGGGGAAGGCAGAGAAGCAGCATTTTGTGCAGACGCTCTCTCCCCACAGCCCAGCCACACTTGTGCAACGAAGTGGAAGTCTTAATGCACTGGTGATGAAAGGAGGGGAGGCTTGCAGGGGTTAAATGGAGCTGCAGTACGGAGGGAGCTCCGCCTCTGCTTTCAGCACCTGGTACTCTATAGACAGTTGCCTCAGCAGTAGATTTCAGAAGGGATTGGAGGAAAACAAGAGGGGGAGAGAATGTGACAACTGCCGGCTCTGGCTGCTGCCTTGGGGAGGCCTCCCGCACCTGTCCCTGCCTGTCTCTTGGCCAGCACTGTTGTTGAATCAGACAAGCAGAGAAACATTCTTATTTGCCAGAGCAGAACGGCGTGCAGAAGCGAGAACATGACTTCTTCATTCAAGCTGGATTTTCTTCCTGATATGATGGTCGATAGCCGTTTGCTAGTTTCTGACAGAATGTAAGTAATCTGACGGATCTAGAAGTGTGCCATGCTGCATTCATGCCACATTGTTCTTGTGTGTCCAGAGACGAGAGAGTGAGGGAGAGAAAAGCCATCTCTCATGCTGTACTTCCTGCAGGCTACAGAGTTCTTATGTTTTAGGGAGTGATGTGTGCTTCCAGACATCTCCACTTCACCCTGCACGAGTCATGCATTTCACGTATTCCATTTCTTAATGTGTTGCTAATTTTTTTAGAAGGAATGTGCTGATCTGATAAGGAAAAGGGTTGGATTTTGCTTTTTTTTTTGTTGTTGTTGTCAAATATCCACTTTCTGTTTCAGACCTTTGAGATTAATCTCAGTGCCCTGAATGACAACACATTTTTTTTTCTTTTATTGTGCTCCAGTCCTGCTAGAGATGATGCTTTGTGGATGCCACTAATGCAGTTTAATCCAATGAGATCCACTGGGATTTTTTTTTCACTTTATGATTGGCTACGGCGATAAAGATTAGGACGGTGCATGCTGTTAAACCTCCCGTCCAGGTGAAAATCTGGGATAGTTCCCCACTGTTCTTCCTGAAGTGGCTGTGCTGACTAGAGTGACACCCAATGCTGTGTTATGGGATATCATAAGCTAAGTGGGGATTGACATCGGAATGTGACAGCCTATTTATTTTTTACAGGAGATAAATATTTACGCGACGTCTTTTAAATGTTTCCAGCGTTGTTTTCAGAAGTTGCTGCACTAATAAATATTATTATTTTCATGCAAGGAGAGATCATTGTAAACATTGACACCGAGGCGCCAGAGCCCTAGCCACATCAGTTAACTTTCATGAAGGCTTTACAGGCATGCTTGTGCTTTATGATGTTACCATGTCATTCAAGTATACCAAAAGAGGATGCAGAATGAAGGGTTAAAAGGCGACTCTAAAGCTAAGCAAGCATGTTCTAATAAGTGACAGCCATGATTCATCTTTATGACTTTTTGTAAGCCCTGCGAAGGGCCATTCCAAGTTTACTTATCAATTTTACTGGCAGCAAACTTTCCCCACTGGTGCTCGCTGCTTTCCTAAGCACATTAGAAGAGGAGCCTTTGAGTGGAGATATTCAATACCAGTCTATTGTTTAAGCTGTTTAGCCATAGGGGGTGGGGAACATAAGCCTTTTATGTGTTCACCAACTTGATTCACACAATTCTTGCACAGTAATACTGTAGAGCAAAGTCCCTGTTTAATAACATGAGCTCATGGATAGCAGTGGCGAGGTCAAGGCTGATAAGCATGTGATGCCCGGGACACGAGGACCATTCATAACGTGTTAGGGGCAAAGAGAACACTTTCATAGAGTGTCCTCAGACTGACCAACTATTGCACTACAGTGCCAAGCCCCTGACCAAGATGGGGTTAACCCCATAAATAATTACACACTCGAGGTGCACGGAGGTGAACATGAGGTCATGCTGAGTATTGTCTTTCGCTGTAACACTTCATTGTGTTTTTTATCATCTGGTCTTACACAGGTGAAATATATACTGTACAACTACAAGCGCCTCAAGTTCAGGGATCCAGGAAAGGTTCAGCGTGTGCTTGCAAAATCGAGTGCAGCTATTTTAAGGGTTTTCCTTTCTCTCTTTCTTTTCTTTTTTTTTTGAGCAAAATAAATTCTTGAAAAATGTTGCAGATTGCTTGTTTTGTGCTGGAGGCTGTAATGTGATCATTATCTGTGTAAACAGCTTGGAATCTGAAGATGATCTATGACCCACCATCAAAACTCTACTTCTAGTCTATGAGACGAATTGGACTTGTGTTGGCTACACTTGGATTGCTTTCACAGATTATCGTGATTTCCTTCATTGCATGCCATTACCAAATGACATGAGCAAATATACAGAAAAAGAAAGAAGAGAGGGTTAACATCATTCACAGAGTTACTAAACTGGTTAGACAGGGGCTTTAACTGTTGACGGCGGTTAGCAGGCTTGTTAAGACAGTTATTTTTCTGCGAACCGTTATAATGGTTGGTGAAAGAGAATATGCTATGTTTGATGATATGCGAGATGACAAGGATACCATTATTAAAGGTTTCATGTCCGGTATATAGCGTAGGCATGTCAGTGCTACATCATAACGCTTGCTTTTGTTTGCAACTCTTCCCTTTATTGATGCCAATGTTCATTCTGTATGGGGGACTTCATACACTGTGTGACATTCAAAACCCATCTGTTATAACAACTTTCAACAATATATAAATGCAGGAAGTAAACAGATACAGGCAGCTTTGCTTATTAGTATATTTTTAGCATTGCTGTAAATCATTGAGATTGCCTTAATATGGAAGACCTGTGACTGTGTAGTCTTGAAGTAGAACTGTTAAACACCACATGAGAATTAAACATCAAAAACACACACACAGAATCTAGCTAAAGTCATAAGTTTACACTTATTGAAACAGTATGTAATATATGATACTCAAGAACACACACACAGATATTATTTAGAATTAAAGAATGCATGCAGTCAGTCATCATCCATCGTTATTATAACACTCCTTTTGACATGTAGGTAACTATAAAGCTTTATTATTTCTTTTAACACTGTAATTTCCACCCCGGAAGACTTTTAATTGAAGCTGCCGTGTAAAATAATGCGCGGTAAAAGAAGTTGTCCTAGCACTAATGTGAATATTACTCTTTGCTGATGGTCTGAATAGCTTGGAAGATATATAGCTTCTCGGAATGCTCCATTTGTCATCCAGACACATAACTGCACTGACTAAATTTGAAGCTGCTATCATTTGTCCATAAAACCAAAATAAATATGTATTGGTGTGTCTTCCTCTAATGTGTGTTGTGCTTGTAATTCTGGCCGCTTGCTCTACAGTTGTTTGCATTGATTCCCATTCATAAATTGGCAGGAGAATACATCCTAATGTGCTATTATATTTGAAAGTGTAAGCTGCATCTGGTTATGAGTGAAAGGGTTTAGAGATTAATTGTGGGTTCTCTGGGTCATCCACTGTTGACAGCATTTGTCATCTGGATAAAATGTAATTTGCAGTAGGTAACAAGTGGTATATAACATGAACTGACTGCGTCTTGGCCTTTGCCCCTTCACCTTCTATTTGAAATATATTTAGAAAGAAATACTATAATGTATGCAGGCTCTATCTATCTATCTATCTATCTATCTATCTATCTATATACTACAGAAGATGGGAGATTGCCTTTCACTTGAGCACTTTCCTTTCTTGTTGCTTGCAGATAAACCTTGAATAGTTTATGTTCATTGATCGCAAGACGTAATCAGGGAAATCAAATACTCGGTGTGTGGCTAACTCTGTGTATGAGCCACCTAACTTTTGTGTTTACTCAACATATATTTAAATGTGGTTTACCAGTAAGTTTTTAACACTGTATTTTGATATGGGGAAAGTTCATTAGCTTTCCTTTACTAAAGTATTTTACAGCAAATCTACAATAGGGGAAAAACAGCTGCTTAAGTCCAAGCAGAGGCACTAATGAATTGCATCAGATACAGTACTTTGTAGTATCTGTTAGTTTTTGCAATATTGCTAAGTAGGCATAAAAAAATGTTTGACTTGAATTCTGCAGGTGTTCACTTGTAAAATCACTGAAGTTCTACGAACCATATAGCCTTTCGGCAGCACAGAGAGTGCTGTGGCAAGATAGGGGATGTTTAAGTATTTTAACTTCCATGCAACATGAATTATCTGATACTGCATGCAGCTGTTTCTATGAGAAAAAAAAACTCTACGTAATATTATCCACCCTCAGAGCTGTGCTTTAGTCTTTATTTGCGAAGAACGGGTTCACAAAAAAGGCATTGGACGTCATTTTATTTCACTACAGACTTGCAAATCATGAAAACAAAGAATGTTTTCAATGGCCAGTGGTTCTTGGTGCTACTCACACTACTCCAAAGCCTAGATGGCAACACCATTATGATAGGAAGGGCTATATGTTGCTGATTTTCATGCAAAGCTTGATTATTTAGACCAAATACAACTGGAATTCTAATGTCACACATTTCATAATCCTCGGTAGGAATTCTGTGACATGAAAGCTTTATTGAACAGTGCAGAGCACAATGTACAGCATTCAGTAATCTATCACAAGCAATTAGAAAAACAAGCTAGGTCATAGAAATATGGGTTTCAAATGCTTGATATGGGTATTGTTCTTTGTACTTTGCCCTTTTGATTCTTTAAAGAGTTTGATAGTTTTCAATAATATTGAACATCAACATAGCTTGAACATATGATAAATTGCATTCCCACCATCCATAGTTTCATACCAAGCCCTTATAAGCAGCTTTCTTAGTACTGCCTGAATGTCAACACACAAAAAATCCATCAACACCAAAATAAGTACTGGAGGTAAAGGGAGCCATACAAACAAAGAAATTGAATATTAGCATGGAGAAATCATTTGACCTGGTGGCACCTTTTTTCTAAAACTACACGACCATGTCTGTTAAGCAACCACTACTTGAATATACTGTTAGTTTCTCTGGATATCCTCAAAGATACATTTGATTCCTACATCCAACCATATAATCCCTTAAATTCAGTATTATCCAAGAATACTCCCAACAAAACACAACTTGATTTCCCTTTTTCTCTCTTTTCAAACTTGCTTTCATGGTAATCTTTTTTGCACCATGCATACAAATATAAACCAGCAACAGCTTTCATTTCCTGGCACTTATTAGGATAATAATCACTTTTCTTTAACTTAATCAAGCAGTGGGGACATTTTCTAGGGTTAAAGATCTCCTAAAGATGCCACTTTGGACTGGCCAGCCTCTGAAGAAAGCCCTGTAAGCTATATATAGGGTTATTTTGGTTAGTTGTCTGATGTAAGCTACCGCTCAAGATGTTTATGTTATCCAGAGTGCACATACAATGCTCATCGCATATTTTACACGCTCCTATGTATTGGGAACCATGGAGTTATCTTTGTTTTTCCAATGCAAAAGTATATGAAGAATCCCA